AAATGAAGACTGACAACAAGACTGCGCAGGCTCAATCCATTCAACATTTGTGGAATTCTGGGATTACGAATGCAGCCAAAATAAGACGTAGAACAAATATATCAAGGTCCACAATATATTTCAACTTGGTAAAATTGAAAAAAACTGGAAGCATCTTCCACAAAAATGCCCCGGTCGCCCCCAAAAAATCACTTCAGAGAGCTCAAAAGCTCTTAGGCAGTATATTAGAAAAAATCTAGCAGTTTCTTCTATTAGTGTTCAAATTGTCGCTAAAGGGTGTAAACGTGTCCTACAGTATAGTTTTGCAGCACTTAACCAACCTTAGCTATGATAAGAAGTGATCTATTGCAACCCTGATGCTTACAAGATTGCATAAGCAGAAACGTATAGAATGGGCCTAAAATTATATGAATGATGACTGGAATTGCACTCTTTTTTCAGACGAAATATCCTTTTGATTATTTAGTAATATTGTAGAATATTGGTATAAAGGTCAATGACCAGTTCATCGCATCCCAAAGGATTGGATAAGAATTAACGCGTGGAGTGGATTTTGTATTCAAGGCAAAACCAGTCTTTACTGCTTCTGAGAGAATATGACTGGGCAATTCTATGTTGGAATAATAAAGAAGCATCTTTTTGAGATCAAGAGGATGCTACATAACAATTGACGCTTCTAGTAAGATAATGATCCTAAGCATACGAGCAATGTAGCTAAGGATTTCTGCAAAGAAAAGTTCTAGCTGTTATGGACTGGCCATCTAACAGTCCTGACTTGAACCCCATAGAAAATTTATAGGTAATTGTTAAAAAAATGTGGAGATGCGGCAACCACAAAATATTAGGGATTTGGAAAATTTTATGAAGGAGGAATGGTCAAAAATTCCACAGGATATTATTAAAAGTTTAGTTGGTTTAATAAAGGAGAGATGTAAACTTATAATTAAGAAAAATGGAAATGCATTTCCTATTAATTTTTTTTTAATAAAATCTCCTGCTTTTTGGCTTTTGAATAAATATTTTATCATGTGATTTGGTGCAGTCATTATGAAGTTATGTTGAAAAATATTTGTCCAAAGACTTTTGCATTAGACTGTAAATATAACGTAAAGATAATATTTTTGCCTACTCTGCAATTTTACCTTGAATGAAGATTTTGTCAATTTTGTGTTATTTACATTCTTGTAACAAATTAATCTAGAAAAAATCTGTATAATCAAGTTCAAAGGATCAAGGATTAACAATCAATATAAACATGTAACAGTATACAGTCAACTCTTGTTATAACGAACTCTATATCCTAGACCTCAACTTCGCTATAAGGCTATAGTGAAGATTTTAAGAGATTTGATTGGCCAATTCGCTATAACAAGAGTATTTTTATTATATTTGTTCAAAAAATTCATTATATTAAGAGTTCGCTATATCAAGAGTTGACTGTATAAAGGATGAATTTTTTATCTCACTTGAATTTACTTGTTCAAATCTTACAAAATTTCATTTGCTTATTTTCTACTATATTCTAAAAAAAAATTTGTTGCTTCATAAAAATAATAAGAGAACAACATTATTTCGTGCGTCTTCCATATGAAAAGTATTTAGAAATTGGACAAGTGAAAATCTTAATATTGATAATTTAATTAGATTCACTCAAATTAAATGCAATGGGAAATGTAAAGTAAATTATTTAGAATAATTTAAATGTGACATCACATTTAAACTTAGTAAACTCATTATTTGTATTGTATTTAAATAATTAATGATTGATTGATAGCACTAATATATTGGGATGTTGAAATGATATATAAAAGCTGAATTTTTAATCTCAGTTGAATTTACTTAAAAAAAAAAGTTCAGTCTCACAATTAAATAAACCCAATCTATATTCATTTTATTAAAATTTTAGGAAAAAACAATATTATTAAAAATAATATTTTCGTGCTTCTCCCATATGAAGAGTATCATATTACATTTATTGATCCTTTACAAATTATAGTTCTCTCGACATATTGGAATTTCTTCATAATTAAAAATTTTTGTATTGAAAATTTTCTTTATATATCCACCATCACTACCACTACTGTTGTCTTAATATCTGTATCTATAAACTTAAATGATTAACTTTTAACTCAATCTGTTAAATTAAATACAAGACAATATCACAATCACGCCTATATAAAGATACGACAAAAGGCAATAATAAATGAATTTAAAGATTTCTTTATTAAACTCTTAGTTTATCCTAAAACCCTATCTCAAGTTACTTTTCAACTCAAGAGAAAATACAAGATAATTATATAAAATAAAATATTATAAAATATACAATAACAAATATAATATAAAAGATAAATAAAACTACTCTACTAATAATAACATAATTAACAAATATAATGATTATAAATAATATAACTAATCTATCTAATATATTAAATAGATTAATGATGACCACTTTAGCAACTTGGTCTAATTATCTACTTTGTCAACTTTGTTAATCATTTTAATCACAAGACCAATTAAGATACCCAATAAAAAATTTGATATAAAAATTAAGTTTTATAACATATAATTTTTATGGAATTTTAGTATAATATATATGTATTTTTCTTAGGTAAAAACCTTAACTCAATATGAAGAAATGGAAAAAATATATATAAAAAATAAGGAAAAAACATATATTTTATAATGCTTTAACAGATGCAAAAATCAAAGATAAAACGTATATTTTATAATGCTTTAACAGATGTAAAAATTACAGATAAAACGTATATTTTATAATGCTTTAATAGATGCAAATCACAAATAAATGTATATTTTATAATGCTTTAACAGATGCAAAAATCATAGATAAAACATATACAATCAATTCTTGATATAGCGAACTTTTGATATAATGAATTTTTTGAACAAATATAATAAAAATACTCTTGTTATAGCAAATTAGCCAATCAAATCTCTTAAAATTTTCACTATAACCTTATAGCGAAGTTGAGATCTAGGACATAGAGTTCGTTATAATAAGAGTTGACTGTATTTTATAATACTTTAACAGATGCAAAAATCTCAGATAAAATATATATTTTATAATACTTTAATAAATGCAAAAATCATAGATAAAATATATATTTTATAATGCTTTAATAGATGCATAAATTACAGATAAAATGTATATTTTATAATGCTTTAACAGATGTAAAAATTACAGATAAAACTTATAATATATAATACTTTAACGAATGTAAATCATAAATAAAACATATATTTTAATTAAACAATTTAGATTTTATTAATATAATAAAAAATTAAAATTAAAAAATCATTATTTTTTAAATTTTTTCCTTCTTACACTTCTTATTCTTTTGTGTAATATTTTTTTTGATATAAATTAATCAAAATAAATATAAAAAAATAAGTATTATAAATTTGTAAAAAAAAAGATAAATTCCTTACCTTTTTTTATTTTTATTAATTGAATCTTCATTTTCTTTTTCTTTAATATATATTAATATAAAGTTAATATAAAAATTATCATTTATATAGTGAATTAATAAGAATTATGATTTACCTAAATTTTTATTATAAGATAAATTAAATTTTATATTAGGATTGAAGGTAATACTAAAAATAATGCTAGTTTTTTTATTAGTGCGAACTTTACTTTTATTTTTATTTTTGTTTTAATATTAATTAACATAAAATTAAATTTAAGAATTTTTATTATTATGTATAGTGCAAACGGTCTAAAGCCACTATTTTAATCATATGACTTCAAAATAATAGAAATAATTAGCCAATAAACTATTTTAAATAAACTCTCTGTTAAATGATAGATTGTATCATTATCTTTCACATGACAGAATCATTTTCTTATTAAATAGTTATTAACATTGAATATATAAAATTAAAAATCAGGGTATTTATTTAATATGGTAAAAATTTAGCCATCATAAACTGGCTGGAATCACAGAAATTACCTAATTAGGATCAAAAATTTAAATCTAAAAATCTGTAAACCACCCCTAATTTTAATTCTTAAAATAGAATATTATTGTAAAATAGATGTGGCAGTACCTAAATGCCTTTTCTGTTTTTCTTAATTTTTTTAATTCTTTGAAATCAGCTATATTAAGGATAGGAAAATATATATATGTATTAGTTTAAAAAACCTGCATCTTTAAAAAAAATGAAGACTCGAACTTTTTTTTATAGTAAAAAAAGAATTTTTACAGTAAAAGAAGAATCCTTTTTTTAAAATTAAAAATCTGAATCTCTTAAAAAATGAACCCGAATTTTCTTTTTTAAAAATGAAAACACAAGTCAAATCTTTTTTTTTTAATTCAAAATCTTTTTTTTTTTAAAAAAAAACCTTCCAAATCTTCCTTTTTTTTAAAAAAAAACCTGAATCTTTCTTTTTTTTTCAAAATAAAATCCTTTCAAATCTTTTTTTTTTTAAAAAAAAGCTTAAATTTCTTTTTTTTTTATTTTCTGACTTTAAGCAAATAGGTTTAGTGAAACTTTTGTGATTTATAGTAGGAGTTAGTTTAGCTAGAAACAAAAAAAAAACAGAGAGTAAATAGCTAATTATTTCTTGATAAAGTTAGTGTGAAATTTTTTTTTGTTAAAAAATTTTTTTGAGATATTAATCAAAAAGGCTATATACGAAATGCCTTCAAAGTCTTGTAATGTTCAACTTGCAGCTGCACAAGAAAGTAAACGATTAAAAAAATTACAGGTTGCTTCATCAAGTACAATTAGAAAAAATAATAAACTATCAAGTGATAAATTATCTGATAATTTTGAAGAAGATGGTATTTGGAATGATGATAGTTTAGAAGAAACTGTAGATAAAATTTCACTATCTGTATTTAATATTATATGTTAAAATGCAAAAAATCCTACTATTTTTAATAGTACACATCCATTAACTTATCATGGAAATTCTGATAGAACTCAAAGATGGAAAAAAGCAGCTGCAAAAATAGCAAGTGAGGGATCTACCAATATTACCAAATATTTTATTAATGATTTGACTTCCACTTTATTATTAAATAATCAGATTAATACTACAGCTGATGATTTAATAAACCTTAATGAAATTATAGAAAAGAAGGGTTTAATTTAGCATTGGAGAAATTAAATACATTAATTAAAAACAAATCATTACTTACTCAAGTTAAAAACTGGTTGCAATTATTCTTTAATACATTAACTTGAGATTAGCTGGATACAAATATATAGAAGC